GCAAACACCAATATGTTACAAAGTAGGCAACCACCAAGGGCATTTCCCTGATAATTGATGTTGAACATCTTTTCATATACTGTTAACCATTTGTACGTTTTCTTCAGAGATATGTCTGTTCAAGTCCTTTGCTCATTTTTTAATCAGATTATTTGGTTTTTTTGCTCTTGAATTGTAGGAGTTCCTTATACATTTTGGAAATTAACCATTTATCAGATATATGGTTTGCAAATATTTTCTCCCATTTTGTAGGTTGCTTTTTCACCTAATTTTATCCTTTGCTGTGCAGAAGATTTTTAGTTTGGTTTAGTCTCGCTTGACTACTTTGTTTTTGTTATCTGTGCTTTTGGTTTCATATCCATGAAATCATTGTCAAGACCAATGTCACAGAGCTTTCCCCCTATGTTTTCTACTAGGAGTTTTATAGTTTCAGGTCTTAGGTTTAAGTCTTTAACCCATTTTGAGTTGATTTTTGTATATGGTGGAAGGTAGGAGTCCAGTTTCATTTTTTTGCATGTGGTTATCCAGTTTTCCCAACACCATTTGTTAAAGAGACTATTCTTTCCCCATTGCATGTTCTTTGAACTCTTGTCAAAGATCAATTGACGGTATATGTGTGGACTTATTTCTGGGCTACATATTCTGTTCCATTGGTCTCTATGTCTGTCTTTATGCCAGTACCATATGTTTTAATTACTGTAGCTCTGTAATATAGTTTGAAGTCAGGAATTCTGATGCCTCCAGGTTTGTTCTTCTTTCTCAGGATTGTTTTGGCTTTTCTGGGTCTTTTGTGCTTCCTTATCTCTATTATTAAAAAAACAAAAGATAAGAGTTGATCAAGTTATGGAGAAATTGGAACCCTTGTACGCTGTTGGTGGGAATATAAAACGGTGCAACAGCTATGGGAAAAATATGGAGATTCCTCAAAAAATTAAAAATAGAACTACCATATGATCCAGACTTCCCACTTCTGGGTATATATCCAAAAGAATTGAGATCAGCATCTCTAGAAGATATCTTCCCTCCCACATTCACTGCAACACTATTCACAATAGCCAAGATGTGGAAACAGCACAAGTGTTCATCAACAGATGAATGGATAAAGGAAATATGGTCTGTGCACAAAACAGAATACTATTTGGCCTTTAAAAAGAAAGAAATCCTTCCGTTTGTGACAATATGGATCAATCTGTAGCACATTAAGTCAAGTGAAATAAGCCAGTTGCAGAAGGACAAATACTGTATGATTCCACTTGTTATGAGGTATCTAAAATAGTCAAACTCATAGAATCAGAGAATATAATAGTGGTTTTCACGGATGTGGGGTGGGGGAAATGGAGAGTTGTTATTCAATGGATATAAAGTTTCAGTTATGCTAGATAAATAAGTTCTATAGATCTGCTTTACAACATAATGCCTATAGTTAACAATATAGTACAATGTACTTAAAATTTAAGAGGGTAGATCCCATGTTGAGTATTTTCACCACAAAAAAAAAAAAGAGAGAGAGAGAGAGACAGACACACAGGGATTGTCGTGATATTATCACGGGTGTTTGCGTATGTCCAAACTCATCTAAGTGTACATATTAGATATGAAAAGAATGTTGTGTCTCAGGAGAGGTTTTCCTGGGGATGAAAGAGGAAAGCATTATCTGTCAGCTCATGTACTCCATTGGTGAAGTGTGGCCATGAAACGTTAACTATTCAAGCCTGCACTTCCACAGATGCATTAAAAATTTTCAGACATCTCATGCTGTGGCATCCTGGAAACTAGGATCACAAAAGGAAAGGCAGAGTCCAAGGAAATGAACTATATAGACATGACTGGCAAAAGAACAAGACCCAGAAGATTTGGCAAGTATTTAAATACCATCCACATACAAGTCCCAAGGAAGGCCCAAGCCATTGATGTGAGAAGAGTAGCAGCCTCCTGCCACCAGGAAAAGGGGCCGATGGGAAAGATCAAGGTACTTCTGTAAGCAGGATTCACCATCAGAAGCAATACGATTCATGCTCTGTATAGGTGTCAGTTTCCTTCATGTGTGCAGCACTGGCAAAGAAACCAAGCTTCTCTGAAGGGCAGAAGGAGCTTTAACACCCGCCCACTGAGTGTGCTTGTCCAAACAAACACGAACAACAGGGTTGGGGTAAATTATATGTTCTAGAGGCTGATGCCAGAGAGGCTTTTGTTAAGGTAAAAAAGGCATCGGATAGGACAGAGCAGGAGACAGCCCACCCAGGGGAGGAAGACAGGATATGAGAAAGGAATTTCTTCTAGAAGCAAGGTCTATAATCAAGAGAGGACACATGAAAGACCCATATTCATACAGAGGAGCAGGAAGCAGGTTCCCCTGGAGACAGGAATCCCAGGTGGAGCAGCAGGGTCTGGTCGAAGCTCCCTGTGTTGACAGCATTCCTGAGAGGTGGTTTCAGTGAGGAAAGGGACTTAGACCCAACCTGAGAGGAGAGCTAACGTGATATCATCACCTAGAGCATAGGTGTGACAGTGTTGCTGGCCCCAATCCAGAGGGAGGCACTGGTCAAACAGTAGCAGACAGGGAAGGAGATGGGTGGGCAAGGAGATGGGTGGGGAAGGAAGCAGGAAAGAGGGTGGAGAGCTCTCACCCTCTTCTCAGCTCCTATCATGAGCCTGTCACAAGGTAGTGAGTAATTTTCAAGAAGTGGCTTTATGGTTGTCAAAGCAGTTTATAGACATTCCTCTAAAATAATACTTTTCTCTCTCTCCCCTTCCTTCCTTACTCCCTCCCTCCCTCCCTCCCTCTCTCCCTCCCTCTCTTCCTTCCTTCCTTCCTTCCTTCCTTCCTTCCTTCCTTCCTTGATTCCTTCCTTCCTTCCTTGCTTCCTTCCTTCCTTCCATAAACCTACACATCTGTTAGGGAAAACAACAATTGCCCATTGTCTGAGCATCAAGCGACAGTGTGTGAGGATAAAGTGCAACTAGGGATTTGGGGAACTGATGAAAGGAGCTCCTGGTGGTGGCTGTGCCTGGGACTCAGTTTCATGGGAGGTAACACAGAGGCAGAGCAGTGGGAAGGGAGGAACCATCCACATACCTAAGTCTTAAGCATGTTTGGATTTCCTAAGTGCCTCGCCTAGTAAGAGATTGTGCATTGAGGTCAACTCTGGGTTAGTGATCTTTGTTTCACCTCATCATGATCAGGGGATATGACTGGTGTATAAATTGAGGGATTCAGAGCTCTCTTGTTCCTGTGTTGCCCCCAGAAAAGAGAGACCCCATGAGAGGCAAGGTCTTCAGGGCTGTGTCATCATGTTGGACAGATCCAGTCAATCTTTACTGTCCATTTCCAATGACATCTACTAGCTGTGGTCAACATGGCATCTTAAGGCTCTCTCCAGAGTGAAAACAATTCATTTCCAAAGCAGATGTTTTAGCCTTTCCTTTCCTCTCCCAGGCCTGGATCCATTGAAAGATGGACTACCAGATGATTTGCTTACTGCCATTTATTGAATATTAACTTAAGTGAATATTAGATGATTCACTTATCATTCTTCAGAGCTGCCAAGAAGAACCATTAGTGTCTGTTGTTCACCTACACGTCCACTTAGGAAACTAAAGTACTCAATAGAATTACTCTGAGCTAAATATTAGGGTCCTGTCCAAGAGGTATCGTTGTTTCTGGTCCCAGAAGCACAGAACGTTCTGCTGACTTAACTCATCACCACCCAAGAATCCTGTTGCCCATTGCAAACTCACCACAAAGGGTGGACTATGAGGACAGGCCCGGGTGACATCATTGTCAAACAGGAGTCTCAAAAAGATGTTAAGCCACAGATTTTCATCACAAAAGCTGGAATGAAAATAGATTACTCCCCCAAAATCTCACTTCCTTAAAGCAAGGTTCATATTCTGCATAAAATGCCAGCTTGCCAGAGACTCCACACAAGACCCAAGAGGCCGGACAGCTGGAACTTTTCTGTGCACCAGGTGAGTCTCCCCACTTGAAATTTCTTAGTATTTGCCAGTTGTATTTTATCTGATTGGGATCTCTTTGCCATATTAAGGATACATTTACTTAAAATGCAATGGCAATTTGTGTTTAAGGTGACTTATAGATGTTTTTGACTTCCCACTCAGATTATAGCTGTGGAAGTTGGAGTCAGAAAGGCAGAGTGATTTCTATAAAGATAGCTATTAAGTTAACAGGTGGATATGGACTAAAGCCCATGTCCAGGGCACTCTTAGTGACATTTTAATACTCCTTCTAACCATTATAGAGAATTTGCAATATCGAAGGCACCACAGTAGCTATTTGGATGTTCAAAAGATAAGTTTTTCTTTATTCTATGACCCTACAATCCATCAGAGAACATAGTACGTGGGTGTAATTTGCAAACATATTGCATGGAAAGTGATTAGTGGAGAGGGCAAGGCAGTTATTGTGCTGTGACAAAACGAGGAAGATGACTTGGAATCTGGCTGAGTGTCCGGGAGGAGAGCCATGATGAGTGAGCATGTGTGGACAAGCAGCCACAGAATGAGAAGCCTTCCAGAAAATATGTACAGAGAGGGCAATATAAACAGAGGCTCAGAGGAGGAATTTTGTAGGCTAGGGCGAGGTTTGTATAGTTTTCCTGTGACAGCTAAGGCATTCTATGTAGTGGATGTGAGTGGGTAGACTCTGGACTTTTGACATTATCCCTTTTTCAAATTATTGAATACCTAGGACCTCACATCAATCCTAGGAACCAGCCACTATGTTGATTGCTGATGTAGGTTTTCAGAATCATCAGGAAGAAAGAAGCAGACAGAAAGGATCTGCTCATGTGGAGCAAAATAAATCACCTTTAAGCTTCTCCTCTTGAAAGTGCACAGGAATCACCAAAAATTCCTTTGATCTCAAATTCAGAGAAACAGAAAGAAGGAGAATAGAGGATCTCACTTCTGAAGGGGCATGGAATGAGACATATTTGGCATTAAACTTGGCTTCTTCCTTGTTTCACCAAACCACTGGGCTTTTCTGTCACTAGGTCCAGCCTCCTTTGAAGCATGAGTTCCTACCAGCAGAAACAGCCCTGTCCCCCACCCCCACCGCCTCAAGAGCAGCAAGTGAAACAGCCCTGCCAGCCTCCACCGCAAGAAATATACATCCCCAAACCCAAGGAGCCATGCATCAACATCCCTCCACCTGGCAACCCCAACGTTCCTCAGCCTGGGAACACCAAGTTTCCACAAACTGGTGACACCAAATTTCCAGAGCCATGCTACCTCCAGTTTCCTGAACCAGGCCAATCTACATTTCCTGAGCCAGGTCCCATCCTGATCCCTGAGGTAGTCCAACCTAGAGTGCCTCAACCTGGCCAGTCCAAGTTCCCGGAGCCATATCCCATAACAGTCATTCCAGGTACAATCCAAGAGGAGACCAAGCGGAAGTAAAATGGTCCACAGCTGTGCACTTGAAGAGCTGACCACCAGATGCTGAACACCTGCTCCTTTCTGCTTCTGTGTCTTAATTGTCTGGAGACCTCATCATCAGTATGTTTTCACCCTCAATCATAGCCTCTCTCTCATTTGCACCCTAAAAATATGTGCTATGCAGCTTTCCCTTATACACCCAAAGAGTCCTCTGAGCCTTTGAATTATGCAGATGGCCTTAGTGGCTCTGCTGGCCCTCAGTTGCTCAGAGTTCATCTGAAGAGGCAATCTGGGTGGGAAGAATGCATGTTTTCTGCTATGCTTCCATTAAATCACTTTAATCCCACTCTTGGCTATTTGTGTCATTGGCTAAATCTGCCGCTTCCTTGTTATCTCATCGTGAGTGGGACCCCTAGACAGAGAGCAGTTAGTTTAGGTGTCGTTTATCTATCCTGGTACTGCGTGCTTCTATGAGTATATGTGTGATGACATTTAAGGGGCATCCCTGGAATGGCAATGGCTGTTGGATAATGAACCCAGAGCCTGTCACTTTGGGCAGCCACACCTGGAGCAGGGCTCTTCTCTGGCACTGAAGTGAGTCATGCCTGAGTTCCATGGTGCCTGCTCCAAGCCACCTCTGATCCTGAGGACCCTGCACACAAGGCTCCTGTTTACTCCCCCCAAATCACTGCTATATACTTGAAACTGATTATTCTGATTTTCTTCACTCATTTTACCTTCCAGATACCCAAAACATACAAAAACACACTCATAATGAGGTACCTTCATTGTAAATAGCCACATAACTCACATAATGACACACACAAGCTCCACCCTTATTAGCTCAGAAAAAGTTATCTTTTGCTGGGTACCCATCATGTTCAGGGAGGCCTGAAACTGTACCAGGAAGATGAAGAGGAGGATACACAGTGCATCCTCTTGGAGAATTTGTAGTCTTCTCTAGGAGACATGGTATTCATGTCCTTCTCATTCAAACAGGTACACAACCATGGACAAAAACACTCCTAATACTATCTCTCCTAAAATAACCCACAGAAGCCTATTTATCAAGTGGTTAGAAACAGGAGGTGGGTTTTAAGCACAGATTACAAGAAGGAATATGCGATCCAAGTGAGAGGAAATATCAGCCACGAACTGGTAGAGAACATGTCATTAAGCTATAAAATGTCAGGGGTGAAAGGAGAGTTTAATAGCACCTATTATAGCTCCTACATTTCAAGATAAAGAAATTGGTATCCAGAAAGGAGAAGATTAATTAAGACCAACCAAAAATTTTTTTCTAAATCACACCCAGAACCCAGTTCTCTAGATTTCTTGTCCCTCACTTTCTCCTGCAACCTCATGATTTCAAGGATGATCGTTCAAGGATGAACAGGTCTCTGTTCAGTGTATCTTGGATATTAGGAGCTTTTCCCAAAATCATTGAAGCCAACATAAGATATCAGAAGAGGTACAGTTGTCACTGGGGAGTAAACCCCATTTCTTGACAAGGTGGGTGGTACATAAAATCAAGCAGATGTGAGGCCAGTGACAGATAGCATCTCAGTGATGCACAGGCCCTCCAGGTAGAGTTGGCAAGAACTAAGAAATGTTTGGAAACTGTAAGACAGAAATTCTCCAACAAGTCCTTACAAGGTGATGAGTAGTTGTCAAACTGGCAGGAAAAAATGACTTATTTGTGTATGTAAGTTATGCACATTTGAGGTGGCTTCATATTACTGCCAGTTCCAATGGTAGAAGTGTCTAGAGACAACTCTAGAGCCACTCAAAATTGAATAGGCTGATTTTTATTAGGGAAATAGGCTCTACAATACTTAGCTTTTATGAATATAGATTATATATCTTAAAGAACAGGTTGGCTGGGAAGAATCAAAAGCTTTAAAGAGCTACCTGACTTTTGAGCAACAAATTTTTTTCTAGAAATTTATTTTTAGGTAATACACCCACATGTACACAAATATTTTATACATGACAATATTCATTTCAGTGTTGTATACAATATCAAAGAGTTGATAACAACTTAAATGCATATCAATAGATAATGGGTTCAATAATCAATAGGGTGTCTATGTGTTTGTATTACTGCAGCCACTAAAAAGAGTGTTATAGAAGAATGATTAGTCTTACTGGAAAATGTTCAGATTATATTATTAATAAAGTAGACCTCAAACAATACAAACCAAAAAAAAGCATCTTTTTAATAATGTATGCATATATGTGGGTTAATAGAAAAAAATATCCTGACACTAAATACAGCAAAATATAACTATATTATTTCTGACTGCTTATATGTTAGTGTTCATTTTCTTTATTTGAATAGCTCTATGTTTTTCCACCTTGGACATTATATAAAATTACTTGATTGTTTTTAATGCTTTTTAAAACTTTTCATCATGATATTAAAAAATGTAAAAGTCAGTGAAGATGTTGCTGAGCTAGAGGAAAGTGTATGTCCTACCCATCCAGAACATTCCTGAGCTCTGCAGCAGGTCCCATATGAGCAGCCCAATGGCAGGGGATCCCACAGCCTTGTTGGGGTAGCTCATGTGTCTCCCCTCCCCTCACATTCCCATCCCATTCTCGACTTTCTGGTAGGGACCCTGAATACTCCAACACCCCACACACATTCACAGCCCAAGGAACTCAAATCCTGTCCACTGACTTTGACACTGATGCCACTTAAGGGCTAAATGAGGAGTTGTCCCTGTCTTGTCTCAGCTCCTTCTCTTCCCTTAGCTCCTCTCCTCCTCTGTGATTGGTAAAATTGTGGTGGCCCCTCCCCCCGGACTGGAAATTTAGAGAGCAGGTACTATTTCTGTGTGAAGAGCTTGAGGTTCAAACTATGGACAGTTTGGAAAACTTCAGGTCCACACCCTGGTGGCTGATCTAACTTACTCAGACACATAAATGGGCATTTGGTTTCTCTTCATAGTTCTTGTTTTCCTCAGCTTCACTTTTCTTCTTCCTACTAGGGCAATGACCTTCATAATTCCTGAAAAAAGAAATTTCCGGTTCAGATAGAAAGTGATGGTTGAGGGAGTTCCCTGTACTTCCACATTTCTGACTCAGAAAAGTCTCATGCTGGGTCTAGGGCAATCACTTTCCTCATCTACGCTTTGCCAGCCCCCAACTTAATTTTCTCAGTTCTCTTCTCTCTCTTCTGTCTGTTCGCTTTTATGCTGTATATTCAACCTCGCTCCCTATCTTAATCACCCCACACACTTCCCCAGAACCCAGTGGCTTGTCTGGGCTTTGGGGCCTTATTAGGTCCCTCTGGCCCCTGTCACATTTGCAGGCACTGCTGTCAAGTGTGCACAGCCTCTGCCAAACCACCCTGTGCTTCCTATACCATGGCTCTCATCACACCCATTATTGCTGGATTCACATCTGACTTCTCCACTCTGTGAGCACCATGAGGGCAGAAACCTTCTCTGTCTTGCTCAGAACTAGACTCAGGGTCCAGTCTTCCCCTTGCCAAATGGTAGGAGCTTATTTGATGTCTGCTGAGATGCTAAGTGGTTTATACCTTCACCAAAAGATGTTGTGGCATTGAGGGGAATGTTCTGAACCTCACTCTTGGAAGCCAGATCATTCCTGCCCCCTGGTAAGTTCTCGAGCCTGATCCTTCCCCAGCCCCACGCTGCTCCCTACACATCTAAAACAGCAGGACTCAGAACCACAAACCACTTGCTATTTCCTGTCTGTACCTGCAATAATTTTGACAGAGAGGTCTGCATCTCCTAGAAGACAGGGAGCTCCCAGAGGTCACAGTTATATCTCCCCAATCCCATGGAAGGGCTCTCGAGTTGGAGACTGTCCATTCTCCCATCAATGAGATTGTGGTCATGGGGGCAGAAGGTGGGAGAACACAAAGTCCTGTAATCTTCAAAGAGGGAACCATAATGTTATATGTATAGGCACAAAATATTATCAATACTATATAAACACTATTCTATATAATTTATTGAATACCTTGCTATCTTATTTGTTCCATACTACTGGTCTGTAACATTTGATTTGGCCCCAACCAACATTCTTAAATAATGGCAGGCCCCGAGACATAGTGGTTAGGTCCAGCGCACTCTGCTTTGGCGGCAGTTTCAGGTCCCCGGGTGCTGACCTACACCATTCTTCAAGTTGTGTTGTGGGGGTGACCCACATACAAAATAGTGGAAAGGTTGGCACAGATGTTAGCTTGGGGCTAATCTTCCTCAAGCAAAAAAAAAGAAAAAAAAAAGGAGGATTGGCAACAGACGTTAACTCAGAGCAGTCTTCCTTACAAAGAAGAAATAGAAGAACTCCTTTGAAAAATATTAAACCTAAACTTCTATAACCTTTCTGGCTTACTTATTTAAGTTCTTATACTTATTTTAAGTAGTCATTGCCCTAAGAAAAAGATTAAATATTAAAAATAGCATAGAATAATGTTTTAAAAATTAGTTACAGTAGGATACATGATTCAATAAGAATCCTAAGATTTTAGTGGCTTAGAGCAACAGAAGTGGAATTTGTGCATATATCATATTGAATTTAGGTTGCTGGGGTGTTCTATTCCACCCAGTCACTCAAGAGTCAGGTTTTCTGCCCTGTTTAGTTCCATCATCTTCCAGAGCCTCTCTCCACTTCACAATGCTACGTGAACCTGGAAAGTTTGGGTATGGAGAAGGAAAACTTCTTCCTAATCAACTCCTGCCCAGAGTTGACTTTCATCACTTCTGCCCATATTCCATCGGGACCTCATCTAGTTACTGATACTGTATTGTATACTTGAAATTTGCTAAGAGAGTAAATCTTAAATGTTCTCACCACACCAAAGAAAAAAAAAAAAGATAACTATGTGAAGTGATGTATGTGTTAATTAACTTGACTGTGGTCATTATTGCACAATGTATACGTATATCAAACCATCATATTGTACATCTTAAATATGTACAATTTTTATTTGTTAATTATCCTCAATAAAGCTGGAGGGGAATAAATAAATAAATGATGCTGCCTTAAAAAATAAAAATAGAAATAAATGTACGGGACCGTGAAAAGTGTGCCGCGCTTGCTCCCAGGAAAGTGAAGAGAATGCAGATATCGGTGACCCTTCAAAGCCTACCACAGTCCACTCTTTTCATCATCAAATATACATTTGCTTCCTTTTTCTCATACATATAACACACCTATTCCTGAAGAATTCAGCACAAAGTATTAAATTCTTCTTATCATCAGCCTCAACTTCTGGGATCTCTAAGTGATGT